AATACATACCATTGCAACCCAGAACATGTCCTTTGCCCCTTGCCTCCTTCATATTCATGTCTGCCTTTCAGTCCAGAAAAGAAGAAATCTTTGTAAGCCTGAAGATGTCCAGTCCTTAAGTATTCCCCAGAACTGAGCTGTGGAATACAGAAATTGAATGTCTGCTCAGCAGTTGCAAGAGCACTGACTCTCTCCCCACTCTGCCATAAATTTCTATAACCAAAGCTGCTGCTGTGGCTATTCCTCTTGTGCAGGGACGTGATTGGTGTGGGAACAGCCTTGTGTCCCACTGCAGCTAACCCAGAGGGCGAGCCAGCCTGCTTCAGCTCCTGCACAAGAAGTGACAAACAGGGTATTCTGCTGTTCAGAGGACAAAGGGATAAGGCTTCAGTTATTGTAAGCTGTTGAGTGTGTATATTTGTCATGCCATTGTTCCCTTCTGCCCCCAAAAAGCCCATGTAAACTGTGCCTAAAGGTTATAAGCATAAAGCAGAGGGTATAAAACCATTTGCCTCAGAGCTATGGTGCTAGAATTAACTACTGCTTATATTAAGTGTTCTGCTATCCTCAGGATGTCCTGTAAGGTATTCTGAACAGCCTTTAACTAAAACATGGTCTGGAAAAGGCTGTGGGGCTGAGTCTGAACAGTAAGATGGAAGGAAAGGACAGCAGCAATCTTCTGAAAGCACTTTGAGTTACTGACTCATTTTTGAGTGCTCTCTCCCCCCTTGATTCCTATTTGTCGATACCTTTCAGAGTAGAGAAATACCACCACTGAGTTCCAGGTAGTGATGGTGCAGGTCAGAGGTTCTGCAGGACTGGAGCAAACTGCTGTTGCTGGAATGGTGAGCAAAGGGCCGTGGGATGACTTTCCTCAGCTGAGTGTGTGGGACAGGGGTCAGGCAGAATGCTCCAAGTGCCTCTTCCATACAGCTCTGACTCTGCTGGGCTTGGGGAGGGCTCAGCAGCATTGCAGCTAAAGGCTGGTGTAGGAACTTGGCTTACTTAATAGCTGGAAGATTTCACTGTATGCATAGGCTGCCCTGGGGACAGAACACAGACTGTAGGCCAGCAAATGTAACTAACTTGTCTGACAGGTTCTCTTATCAATAAGGATGTTTATGAGATCCTACACTCACTCCTGTCAGAGCTGGAGGAAGCACAACCAGGGCACAAAACCTATGGAGACAGAGTTTATGGACTTGTTGGCTGGTACATCAGGATGAGTTCAAGGAACTGGGGCTAGTAGGGAACAAATCATAATCGCTGTGTAACGCAAGGTGTGGGGGCAAGTGGAAACCATTGTGACGTATTTCTCATTGATGCAATGAGAATAATTTGTCAGTTTTTGTCAATTAACTTTTTAAAAGTTTTGAATAAAATACTTGGTCTGTCTTTCTTTCCTGTCTCTTCATCTGAGTGGCTGCAGGAGCAGCTGTGCCATCTATGGAGTGCTGTGCAGGGACTACCCGTGCAGCAGCCATTGTGTGCCACACCACAGAGGGCAACAGTGCACTTGTGTGTCCTTTTAGCTCCAACCCTCTGAAATGTAAACTTGAGATAGGAGCTCGTGCAGTTAATTGTCATCAGTCACAGAGATGCCCAATAGGGATTGCTGTGGCTTAAGCACAGCCATTTGCAGGGCTGTGTCACCACCACATGGACCAGGAGCACCAACACCAGTAAGATGAAAATTCTCTGTGTTTTCATTTGTGTGTGTGCATACATGTACCCTCTCCCATACCCACCCTTCTACACCCCATGGCAGGGCACAGGTGGGGAGAAAAGTATGACATTTAAAATGAAGTACAAATTGTTTACAGTATTCTGAGTTCCTGTCTTTTCAGTCTTCAGGGCTGTAATCCAGTGTCACTGTGCACACACAAGCTGCAGGTAGTTGTGCTGGCAAGGTCTGGACAAAGCAGTGAGTTGCCCTGTCATGCTACCAGCCCAGCCCCTCCCCATGCCCCACACACTACACACAGGGTGACACTTTCAGCTACTCGTTTGGTTTTAATAGAAAGTGGGGTAGTTCTGTATTTGAAACATGACACTTGGCTAATTTAAAAAAACCAACAAAAACCACAATTAATCTCTTGCACCTTTAGAAGTGAACTTTTGGCCAAGAAAACACAACTGAAGCACTATCACTCTGACTTAAAGTGTGTCCACAGGCTCAGTGTTCAAGAGTTTTCTTCACAATCACAAATGATCAAATTGCTACATAAATCGCTATGGTTTTTTTATAGCTGAAGTAAATACATTGTTAGAAAAATGACCTCAAGTGCAGTACAACTGGACTAATGCACAGTATATAACACAAAAAAAATACTCTCTTGACTGAACCAAAACAAAATGACACCATGGAAGGCGAGGGAGTGGTGGAGGTGTGGGGTGTGTCTGTATGGCTATGTGTACATACAGTAACATTTAAATATTAAAAAAATAAAGCAAAGCATAATAAAGGTAAAAAGGACAAAGAAATAGTGTTAGTATCAGTCTCCTGGCTCAGTAACAAACTCTTAGCAAAAGGGCAAAGCTGCTGTACGACAGCTCAGAGGGACCAGGGTGGAGAAGAGCAGCTGCACCCACAGCAATTTACACCATCAGTTCAGCTTTAACATGGTACTAGGCAATTACTCATTAGCTGAATAATTTCTCCAGAATGATAAAAACATAATTTACATTAAATTATCTTAAAAACAACAACCAACCAAAAAAACCCAACCCCAAAAACCCTACCCCAAACGTTTTAAAGTAAAACTGTAGATATTTGGGACTTTTAAAATGTTTTATTGAAAACCAGATAAAAAAACCCAAACCCTTATGAAAAAGTCAGGTAACAGCAGGTTGCTTGGGGTTTGGTTTTGTTTACAAATGTCTCTTAAATCATGTCCTCTCCCCAGTCCCAGCTAGTTGTCTGGAGTTACCACAAGCATTTGTGTAAAGTAGCTCTTCTGAATGTCCAGCTCACTGGAAATAGGCTTAATTAGAACAGAAGAGCAAAATAACCCTTTGTAGAATGAGTTCTAAAAGAGGACTCTCTCCCCCCAGGGAGAGCTATCACTCTGCATAATCAAAATTAGAGACATGGAAATAACTCCTGTTTAGAAAGCCCAGAGAAAAACTACTGTATGTGCCCAGAGCAAGTGGATGCCACTTTTTTTTTAAAAAACTTTTAAAAGAACAAAAATTGAATTAAAAAAATATATTACAAAAGGCACTACTGAGCTTGCAAAAGCATTAAGTGCAGTGTTTCAGGTTTGTACCAAATGATGAACCTGCTGAGGGGTGCACAGTTTGTGTACAGAACAGTCACTGCCGTGAGCGGCCGCCGGAGCCGCCCGAGGTGGAGCCACGGGGGCAGCTGGGCTGACCCTTCCTGCTCCCACGGGTGGGTGTTTAACCTGGGTGCACTTCCCTTACAGCCATCCAAGGCAGCTCTGTGCTTTCTCACTGGCTGTGTGGCACCAGTGAAGACTAATCCATCCCTTCTTACCTGCACAGCCTTGGCAGAGCTTCACTTTCTGATCAGATTTATGTTGTAAGAATAGATAGGTTTCTCTTTCTTTTTAAGCCCAAGAGCTCTGTTCTGGAAGCCTTCCCTCCCTTGCCATTACAACCATTAGGCTTGATCTGGAAAGCTCTCTAGAGTTTTGAAAGCTTTGTTCATTCTCAGCACTGTGCTGTCGAAACAAGTCATTCTTACAGAAGGCTGAAGAATAAAATTATCGACTGCTGTAACAAAAACTCATTACCATGTCAAGACTAGAGACACAGTAAAAGCTTAGGTTTCAATAAAAATATTTTTAGTCCTTATTCCTCTCTCTTTACAGTTGGGAAATAAGGAGCCACCTCATGGGCCAGTGGCTACCACACTAGTATAATATTACAAACTAGACCATTAAGGTGTCTTGCTGGTAAATTTGCTGAGATTATTGCTGATGTGCTTTTGTGTAATAACTATGAAAATCTGCTAATCTTAAAAGCTTCTGTGGGAAAAAAACAGCTAATTTTTAATGTTTTTTTTCCTTAATCTTCACACTACTGTCTAAAGGAATCTCCAGTAGTTCCTATAGTGCCCCTTTACTAAAGTACTCGGTAGATCCTGGTGTTTGCAACAGCCTCAGAATAAGCAGAGACTCAAAGTTCTCTGTGCACATTGGTGCTGACATACACACATATGTACAGGTGAGTGTGTGTGTGTATATGTGTGTGTGTGTGTGAGTATTAACTGTCCAGCCCCAACTGCTGGCTAGAAATATCCTGTTCATGCACAGAGTTTCACATCCCTGCTCCATACTGGAAACCTGTCCTTGCATTACTCAAGCTTGTTTTAGGCTTTTCACTGTGAGCATTCCCCCTGCAAGCAGGAGAACGTTTCATTTCCTGCCATTTGTTTCATCTCCTGAGACTCTGTTTGCTAATGATGTGTTTCCTCTACTATCCAAGGTGAAGAAAGGCAGTTGAGGGCTAATGTGTTCATTACAACAAGGATAACTAGTGATAACAAATACCACCATTTCTAGGGGACAGTTTGACTCACCCTGGTACTGGCAACAAGGGTTAGTTCAGAGCTACTGGACAACTGCACTGACTGGCACAAACTTCTTGCAGATCACCAGTAATAATCTATCTTGTATATGGCATTAAGACATATATTCCATTTTTTTTAACATACAGTTGTCCTCAATTGAGGAAAAATAAATAGCCAAGTACAGAGCTCATGTCACTTTAATAACACTGTAGTTTTTCCCTCCACTCTACCAGTGACATCACTGAAGTCCCAGGACGATGAATCGTATTTTAGTGGGCAGGAGGCTCTGCAAAATACCTCAGTTTTAGCAGAGCCTGGTGGACACAGGCTGGGCTGTAGCGCCCAGGACTCCCACGCTCCGGAGAGAACGAGGCAGCACTGCTGTGTTTTCCTGGACTTCCTGGTATAGGACTATTTCTTCCTGAATTTGGATACCCTGGAGCGTTTGGAAGGCCAGCAGCAGCGGCTTGGGTCTGGAATCTTGCCTTCAGTGCTGGACTTGGCCAACTGAAAGAAACAAGAAGTCATTTTGCATTTTTAAAGCAAACTGCAGTAAGAGCAGCACTGCAGCTCTGAATCACTTGTACACCTTGGAACTAATGCACCAGCTGACAGAAATCACGTCTGGTACGGGACAGATCTGAGAAGAAACAGTGACAGTACAATACATTCTGTGTTGCCTCAATCACGAAGGTCATTTGCTCTGAAGTGGCCATCAAGAAAAGAAACAGGGGCTTGGGAAGCAGCTGGGCCACTTCAGTGCAAGCCTCTCATCAGAAAAGGGCATCAGGACCACGGCTGACCTGCCCTTGGCTAGTGCTGCTGCTGCTGCTGCTGTGGCTGAGCACAATTCCCTGCCTTTTTGTTAAAAATAACCTTTAGATGCCACACAAGTAATACAATTTTACTATAGTGTCAGATTTTGTCTTAAATTGATGAGAACTAATATCTAAACTTTCTTTGAAAACAGAGCAAAGTATTTCCTTTGTTAAATTAAAAACCCTTGTCTGTAAAAACCTTTCCATTTTCTCTAAATTTAAGCTCAAGGCAGCAGAATGACCACGGGTTGTGCCTAGCATCTGGCCCTTCTTTGACATGTGACATGATTTTTTAAAATGAGCCTCTACAGAAAACATGCCATAAGCTAAAAACGTTTTATAAGGTTTAAATATATAAATGAGTAAATGTGAAGCCACCGCCCCCCAGCCATGGCCCCTCTGCACTCACACAGCTTATCTAAAACCTTCTGAAAATCATTTTCTCCTGACAGACCTGCAGGTATCTGCATTGTTAGCTCTGGTATTTGCAGTCAGTCCTACATCCCTAGCACAGAGTGAGTGTATGCCATCTCTGCTTTTGGCAGAGGCAGCACTGCAAAGTGAAGGAGGCTGACACAAGCCTTGGCATTGGCAAACATTTGCATGAATTTCCTGATGTGATTACACCCAGAAGCTTGTGCTACATATTAGCACTTTGGAACAACACCCTGGATCTTCCACAGAGTGGAGTAAGAACATAAAAAGCCTAAGACTGTTCCTTTTGAAAAATGAATCACACAAATCAGGGGATGAGAGAATTCGACTTTGAAAAGTGAAGTAGCAGAAGGACACTTATCAGCTGAAGCATGAAAACAATTCTGTTTTTAGCTCCACTTTAACTCAAAGAAATCTTGGTGAGTTTCATGTTTTTTTCTGAAGCAACACTTGCTGGCCCTATTTCAGTGTAGTTTGAAACAGGCACAAGGAAGCTGCTCTCTTTCCCAGTGCTTAGCACCGGGCAGTGTCTCCCCTTCCACTTACCACCTGCACTCCTTCCAGCCCTGTCACGTGTTGTTTCAACTCTTTCCACAACATTCCTCATGCTCCAATCTCTGCTACCTTAACACAGCTGCACAGCTGCTGGTTTCCAACTCCAACGCTGAATTTTGTGGCCAATAAAGCCAATCAGTTATATTTTTAAAGCAGGCTCTGACAGAGCTTTCAAGGCTCTGTTTTTAAAGCACGTTTGAAAAAGTTATGCTTAATGCCTATATCAAGAACTACTTAGTGGAAACAGTTCTCATAATAAGTGGAATTTCACACATTTAAGAAAGCTAGAAGGAGGAACAAGAGAAAAGTCAGGACAGGTCACTGAATTGCTTTCTGTTCCTGCCCCCTTTCTGATCTGGTGTGTGGTACTGGGTCATCTGTTAGTTTTCCAAGAACTTTATCATGACCATATAGACATTGGCAGCTTTCTAAGGGACTCCTCAGTATTCTGGCCAATGTCTATCACAATGGAAAGGAATCTTTATGTTAGTACAATTACCACAGGAACTCACTTGTATGAAAACTGTGTCTTTGGGTTCCCAAACCCAGCAACATTCAAAATAAAACATGACCAGGATAACTTGCCTTAGGCCTTCCAACAAATGCAGCCTTCATCCACTGTTTGTGTGGCAAAACACAACATCCTCTCACAAAAGTACACACACATCATCCTACACACTAACAATTCCTTTGGACTGAGGTAATAGAGGGCAAAAATAAAAACAGTAATAAAAAGATGTCTGAAGATATGAAACCCACTTTAATGTCCCTCTGCACAACCTAAGTACCTCAAAGCAACACAACATTCCTGCACTGCACACACAACAGGGATGAATTACCAACCAACAGCACAACTACCACTAAGTCCAATGAAGGATCCAAGTACTAAATCAGCAAAGTGAGACACTGGCCAACTGGAAAACACTCATGTCTGATCTGCCAGTGTAGACATGTTACTTGGAAGTGCAGTGTAATGGAAGGAATGTGACTGCAGCACCAGGAAACTCTCCTTGTGAGCAGAATATTTAAAACAAGATCTTTGTGAGCAACAAGGCCCTAAATTCTGCTGTTCAAGCTGTTCTGCAGCTGATCCTCTAAAAGTTTTGTTTCAACTCATTTGACTGGATGTGCAGCCATACCTTTGCCTGTCAGATGAGGAGTATGACTGCACCATGTGTTTCCATTTGTAAATCATTGGGTATTTCTGTGGATCAATCTCTGCTGCTTCTATGGCTGCTAAGACATCACCATCCAGCTTTGAGGGCTGCTCCCTAGAAAAGAAACAGAACTAGATGAAAAGAGAACTACAAATTTGTTCAGGCACTAAAACACCCCAATTCCAAACCACTTAGTTTTTAGATAAGCAAACAGATTGCCTGTGCTCCTCTCTAAACAGCTTCTCCATAAGCTCTCTCCAGCGGGCCCTGGAGTGACTGTCTGCAATTACACAGAAGCCTCAGAAGTTTTGGAAATTTCATCTGAGGATATCCCAAGAGTGTAGTAAACACTTTGCTAATCTAAGTCAGGCTCATCATGAAGCCACAACCCTGTCAGATGAATGTGAACAGCCAAGTTAACTGAAACTCATTTGGAAACATGGACTTCTCTTCCTTCAGCTGTAGGTACAGTGTTCAGGTACCAAGGTGCAAGAGAATTGCACAGCTTGGAGAACTCCACAAACCCTGGAGCACTTTCAGATGGTCATTCAAGGCTGATTGCAACTAGTGGTGCTTAGTGTCACACCACCCCAACCTTTTATAAAACACATCTTGTTTTTGCAAACAGAAACCCAAGGACAAAACTTCTCTTCCTTCAGCTGTAGGTACAGTGTTCAGGTACCAAGGTGCAAGAGAATTGCACAGCTTGGAGAACTCCACAAACCCTGGAGCACTTTCAGATGGTCATTCAAGGCTGATTGCAACTAGTGGTGCTTAGTGTCACACCACCCCAACCTTTTATAAAACACATCTTGTTTTTGCAAACAGAAACCCAAGGACAAAGTTAAAAG